TAGCAAGGCTTATTCTGCCTTCACGAGAAGTCTGTATAGAGCGTTGTTGGCGCGGCATTGTGGTGGTTGTGTAGAGCGCTGGGTCAGGTTTGGTGGGGCGGCCAGCTTACTGGTGTGGCCAGCTTACTGGTGGAGTACGTTAGCGGCATATTATTACTAAGCTCTTTTCTTAGTAAGCGGCTAGATGGTCTGTGTGTTTTTGTTTTCGTGAGTGAGACGTGTTCAGATTAGCTACTTTACCAGCTTCTAGCTCTATAGCGCGTAGGCTACACGACTTAGTACTAGTTGCAATTGATTTCTTCGGATGGATTTGTATATATTTAGCTAAAATTACACCTATTCTGAAAAACTCGAAGTTGGTGTTGTTGTTGAAAGGCTGATTGTAAGTAGAAGGGTTGCGGGATATCATCATTGACATAACTCAGTACACCAAGATATACAGTCATTTCTAATACTGTTGGTAAAACCCGTATGTTCAAGAAGTTGGCACGAGTGACATCAGAATTGCTAGTGTACAAGAAAACACCGGCCAGTGATGCCAGCCATATTAAGAAGCTGAATAGGCTAGGCTCATATTTTTTTTACATATGAGACGGGATATTTTGAAGGTATCGTAGAAGGAAAACACAAGGCGATAGGTCAGCTGCGACTTACAGAACCAATTGCACTGGCGAGTAGCGCCACAGTTTCTAGCCCAACTGGCGATCTTGGTGTTATGTGTCCCATCCTCGAAGGGGCACAGTTGCGATGCTGAGAAAAAGTTTCAGAATTAAGGATTTAGCTGTTCACTATCCCTGCAGATACGGCTTCCGGCGAGGCTGTTGATCGGGATAGCGTAACCTACTTCGCGTTTTTTATCCGGAATGATACCATCCCGAACCCAAACAGACATAATAACATTAACATTTGAGAATGCTAGCTTATACACTCAGTCAAGCAGATACTAGTGGTTAAAGGATGCCATGAAAGTAAAAAAGATCACTGTATTATTCAAAGCAGGCCGGAATCTACATACCACTGCGTTGCTACTATCACTTAAACTATCTCTTGTTTCCAAAATTCACAAGAAATATGAGAATGGTGCGACCCTTGAGGGCCAGCCGCGATTACAGCCGTGAAGCATAGATTCTGCACGAGCTGCATACTAGAACGGTTCGTTCCAATCGGGACACAACATAACGCGGACGACCACTAGAAGCACCATTAGCGCCTCGATTGATTGACTGATTGATATAGATTATCGACTTTGCTCCGACTACTTTCAAACGCTGATGTCATACTCATTCTTGTCACATACAGCGGATGAAATTGATAGGCCATCTGGATTTAGATAACCTAGGTACTATTGAAAATATCCATAGTGAGCATGAATAAATATGCTTCTCTCATTTGGAAAACAGTACTTGGCTATTAACAGGAGCCAGTCGTAGATCGTAGATAGACAACGCGCAACCGAATAGGCTCTAAGCAAGGTGCACCTGGCATTTTCCGCTTCTGTCCGGGTTGAGTGTCAGCATAGTTTCTAGTTACAGGCATTTTGTGGGCCAACGCTCATGTGGCAAATGACGGTTGATATTACGGTACTATAGTCGTTTCTGTTTTATACTCACACTATTGGACGGCTACAGTATTAAGGTTTCATAAGCGGGCCCATTTGCAAAGCAGAACCCATGTTGAGTTTAGCAGCCGGAAAACGGAGACGGAAATGGACACGCCCTTTTCAGGATTATTGCAGTTCGGAGAATTCTTCACTCACATGGAAATGCAATTTTTGGTTGGTCGAGAGTTTCAATTCATTATCAGCTGGAGCTATAATTCATGGGAAAGAATGCTAGTTGAACATTGAGCGGATATCGGCCCTTTCAGTCCGGATCTGCAGCACCCAACATTTTCGGTCCGAATAGAAACAATGAGTGGTTCCACTTCGCAATCACCATGCTCTATTTCTCCGAATATGGCGATCCTATGGTGCAGGCCGAGGCCGAATATTTTGGGCGCGTAGGCCTCCAATGATCTTTACTTAGCGTGGGGGAGTACTTAACCAAGTCCGGCTGATCTGATATATATACCCCGCATGTCGAACTGTAGTGATACCTGTTTTGTGTAGCCATACGAGCAGTTGGTTTATATGATAATGGCTGCACCAAAGTTAACACATGCATTCGACCTTACTATCGATGGCCCTTTTGAGTTCGCGTCGGAGAAGACCCTGTACTCTAACTTGAGCACAGCCTATGGTTAGCTTCTCAATCGGGCGCGAAATCTAGCGTAGATTGATATATCGCATTTAGTATTGACCGGACATCTAAGGTCGCCGGACGGATCAACCGATATTCCCCTTATTGGAGGGACTGACTGGATGCATCTCTCTGAGAACTATACCAATCTTGACGCTCGAGTCTCCGTCGCAAACGCTGAGCTGAACTGTGATATCAGCTATCGTGGGAAACTTGCATTTACTGAACCAATCAGGGAACTATTGAAGGGGGTTAAGAAAACTGTAGAATGGGGCGAGGGTGAATGAAACGGTATTCTTAGGGAGTGGCAAAATAACTGTAAATGAGGCAGGAAACCTTAGGCTTATATATCGAACTTTTAAGGTCGAATCGTAGTAGATTTAAGAGATGCGATGTACGCTCAGCAGAGGAATGTGTTCAATCGTTCAATTCCACGCCTATATATACCGATGTGAAGGCCTCGCTCGGTAAAGTGCTAAATAAAACAAGCCAATCCTTCTACACTAGCTAGAGTGCGACCTTTCCTTGTCAACATGCAAACTTTCCTAGTTAGGGAATTTCCTTAGCTAACGCATCCGATTTTGGTGTTCCACTGTGTGCGTACGTTATTCCCGAACACGAGATTGTGGCCAGTCTGGTCTAATTTCAATCTTTACTATGATTCCTTGGCACCACAGCATTAGAGCCTTACCTATACCCTCACTATTGGACAGCTTCAGTATTAAGGTTTCGGAAGCGCGGAGATCACCCTCAACTTTGACCGCGAAACAAGGAAGGATGCATGTATCAGGGGAAATGCATGTGCCTCGCATGACATTGTTGAGCACGTAGGTAGGTGCTCTTCACCGGAACGAACCCAGTCAGCTATAAATGATAATATTAAGGGACACGTACCATTCATCACCTCTTACATGCGACGGCGCTATTTAATACAGGTCATCAGAACAGACTATGAAAGCATAGATGATTTCGCATTCCACCATTCAACAACCTATCTTGAGCTAATTTGCATGCGATAGTACTGACGGTGCATCGAAGAGGATGAAACTCCCTGCGACAACGGTAGCTGCGATGGCAGCTTTGCCACTCGTGTCGTCTACCATAATCACAGCGTCCCAGAATATCACTCTCCCAACAACTGATACCACACTTCTGGGAAATATCTACAATCATTGGGTTTACCTTGGAAATGACACATACGACTTGACACGATCCATGGTCGCGCCAACGACCAAGCCCGTCACTATACCCATGACAGGATCCCGAAAACGCGCTGTCATTGAACCTTCACGCTCTGCGCTCGTCATAATCGACATGCAGAACTTTTTTCTCCATCCAGAGCTTACTCCTAGCGCTGAAGGCGGGCGGAAAGCAGTGGAGCCCACGCTCAACATGATCGATGCTTTTCGTAGAAACGGTATGCCCGTGCTCTGGACGAACTGGGGTCTTGATGGTAGGGATCTGCGGGATCTGCCTCCCGCAGACATCTCTGGGTTTTCGCAAACCAAGCGCAGTCCCACAAGTACGTCCTTCCCGGATTTGGGTGCTGTACAGTAATACTAAATTGTGTAGATTCGTTCGGCAGCGATATGGGGAAATTGAAAGACGGCACCGAGTTGGGTAAAACATTAATGCGGGGCTCTTGGAATGCAAGGCCGTATGGGAAATTATACGATGCGCAAACCCAAGGCGTTAAGAACGGGACTGACCAATACTTCAACAAGAGTAAGCTTGCAGATAGAGTGTGATGACGAGAATTGCTAACACGGAATTAGATCGTGTGAGCGGCATGTGGGGTGCGCAGACACCGCTTGGCCTCTGGTTGGAAGAAAACCAGATCACTACTCTTTTCTTTGGAGGTGTGAACTCGGACCAATGCGTAGTATGCCATTCCTCCCAAAGGTCTAGAGACAAAGCTAATTTGAGTCGCAGTATGGTACACTCCTAGATGCATATTTTAAGGTCAGCATATGACATCGAGACGTTCATTTCTCGAAAGACTGACCATATAGGGATACGACACCATTTTCGTTGATGATATCTCGGCGACAATAAGTCCAGAGTAGTGAGTGTTTGATATATTGTATGGAGGCAATATACTGACGCTATATTTCTAGTGCGGCTCAAATGGTCCGATACAATTCAGATCGTGAGTCTAGACATCACGACATACTCGCCGATGCTAACATGCACCAAGTAAATGGCTTTGTATCCAATTCATCTTTGATCATACCTGCACTCCCCTAATGTCAGATCCGCTTTCCTGTTGCAAGGCTGCTGGCATCTGCCATGTCCAATCCAGTGAGGTAATCAGCTATATTTATCTATTACGATTAATACATAAGCCGCGGTTACCTAAACTTACTACACTTGAATTCAATATGGGAGAATTATTAAAAGATATATAATGCCTCTAAAGCGTTTACGTAGACATCGACTTTCGGCCAATGCGCATGGAAGGCAAAGGCTTTTCCGGAGCTGCCGATCAAGCCCTGGAACTTCTATGGCAAAGCGCGCCTGAGATATTAGGACTTTTTTCACATTACACGCCTCATATTGGGAAAAAAGCATTACCGAAGGCAATAGAATCGCCAAGTAGCATATGAAATTGCGGGACAAAAGTATTGACCTACAACTTTTACGCACCCCGTTCGGGTCCAAAACAGGAATGGGTTTCTACATATCAGAAGATCCCGAATTTTGTAGACGACGCAATGTCGAAGAACGAAGCGATGCGTTTGAAACGTCGGGTGTCGCCTCAAGTCACGTCTGGAGATATATCTAACTTGTTGATGAGTGGCAGGAACGGGACGGACAGCTCAATCAAGATTTTGCCTCTAGGAATTGATGTTCAAGCATGCTCCAGCTTCTTCTGGTAAGACATGAAGATCTGGCAGGTCTCGGAAACATGATTGCCGAAACGGGTGGGCGCTGTGCGCAAATGCCACATTGAGCTGCATCTGCCCTCTGGTTAGTCATATTGGGCTGACAACTACCTGGCCGTTATTGCGCTCAACTCACCCCGGTTCATGTAGAGATTCACGAATGGATTCGGAATTCCTTACGATGCGGCCTTGACATCAGTCCGGAAGTCAGTCCTGGTCTTCCCACAGGCATGTTTAGCTGCTCAAAGCTTTTTGGCTATAAAACTATCGAAATCCACTATTACTCGGAAGCCACATGTCTCTCAAATTGTGTAGATTTCTCCAAATTCGAGATGTCTTCGACAACAATTATTGTAACGTTGGCTATTGGGATTTTGGTGTATCTTCTAGTCTTCACCGAGCACCGGAAAAAGCACTTATCTCCAAGTCTGTTTGTTTCCATCTCTAGGAGTAATGCCTTACACTACAATTAGGTCCCAAGACTTTACCATTGATTGGAAATATTCACCAGATCCCTAAAGAGAGAGCTTATTTGAAGTGTATTAAATGGCCTCACGAGGTGCAATTCCGTTCGTTCGGCTAACTTTCAAGGTTCGGCGAGTGGGTAAAGGAGTATGGGCCGATTCACTCCTTCCAAGCGGCCTCACACACCACCATCGTCCTTACCGACCGACGCTTGGTGAAAGAACTTATGGATAAACGAAGTGCAGTCACCAGTGATCGACCAAAGTCTTACATCATGGATCAGATGGTCTACGAGGGCGATGAAATTATTCTAATGCAGGCTAGCGACCCTCACTGGAAGCTAGCTCGTCGTTTTATGCATCGAAATTTTATGCCTTCTGTCGTCGAGAAGAATCATCTACTGCTAATTGAAGCGGAAACTACCCAGATGATCAAAGATATGGTCACTGCCCCAGATGAATTCATGAAACATCCAACACGATTTGCTAATAGCTTTATGATGAGTGTCGGTCATTTACCTCTATGACACAGTAACTACAGAGCGCTACTAAGCCGAAACAACAGCCTATGGAATTCGGACTCCACATACGAAGATTTCACACATTTTGGAAATAGAAAGTGTGCTTGAAAGCTTAACTGAGTTACTAGCGCCTGGAGGCTTGCCACCAGTGGATCTTTTCCCATTCTTACTATACCTACCTCATCAATTCTTTGGCCGATGGCGCGATAACGATGGCGCGATAAGGTTGCAGCTACGCGGAAAACTATGAACCACCTTTACTCCAGGTTTCTGAACCATGTTGAGCACAGAAGGCGTTCTGTAGGCTCAATGAATTCTTCGCCGACCGATTATTAGAGAAAAAGGATGATCTAAACTGGACTAGAAACGGGTTAAGTTTCATGGCTGGACCAATGATTGAAGCTGGCTCGGACACTACTTCTGGCGTAATCAACAACTTTCTACTCCTAATGACCCAATTCCCAGGCGCAATGAGAAAGGCGCAAGAAAAAATCAATGCTGTTGTTGGAGTCGAGCGTTCCCATCGGTGGCATGATTGGCAGAATTTGACTGAGGTTAATAAGCTGCCGAAAGAAACATTGCGAATGCGTCCTGTAGCCCCGTATGGGATGGGAGACGCGGCATCGATGGCATCAGACGGATTGGGAGGCAGTCGAGAGGAACCCAGAATTCTTGAAGATACCACAGCCATTGTGGCTGTATTGCCACGATGCTGAAGCGTATGCGTATGAAAAATGCCAGGCGGTGGTTGACCACGTGAAGTCTGGCACGCCGTTTGAGTCGGCCAATCTGCCAGAAGGCTATGTTCATGAAGACTGAGATGTGGAAATGACGATGGCGTTGGAAAGCAAGCAAGCCGAAGAGCACTTTTACAAAGTTGCCAATCGTTGAGTAGGAACAGGTACTTCGACTGCCAACCTATCGGGGATAATAGGTCTCAGTAGTTCAGGTGCAAGTAGGAAGGAGCCGGATCGTCCCTGCATCCGGAGCATGGCGGGGAGTGCGGGGTAAAGTGCGGGGGCTATTGCCAAGTACTACTTACTTAGTGTGTTAGCTACTTATTAGATAATTGTTCACTAGATAGCCCTGGTGGACCCGTGCCGCCGATTCAACGATAATAGGAGTAAAAAAAGAGCCTACAGTACCCAAGTCTGCTCCACCCTTCTCCTCCCTTCTCCTCTGGCTTCTCTGTGCTTGATTGTGCATCCACTGCCACTCCTCCTACCCAGCTCTGCTGTGGACTTTCAACCGCTCCTCGATCGGCTGCTCCGGTGTGTCTGCAGACCATCCTGTGGACTTCCATATCGCAACCTTCCCTTTCAGACCGCAGTTCTTTGAATTATTCCATTCTTCCTCGATATCTTTGCCCATGAATGGATTTTGATGCTGTAGATTGGCCCTGAGGCCTTTGAACTCAAATGCAGTCCACACTCAATGTGTAATAGTCAGTTAGGGACCGTTTAGTACCGCGATAGAAGTACAGCTTGGATAACTTTTTTCAAAGTCTCCGAGAATGCCGGAAATCGCCTTGATGTTTGATCCTTACTCTATCCTACCCTGTGAATGGAGGCGAGGCGATAAAGGGCAATGTGGGTGAACAAGCGTTTTTTAATCTTGATAAGTACACGGCGTAGCTCCGAGGAAGAGCAAAGTGGCCATGTATTGCTGTATTTGATGGATGATTGAGAATTCACGCTTCTGGTAGCGTATTCAATTCAGGAGTCATTGTGTAATGATTGCGCCAAGTAGTGGCATAGCAGTCATTTGCAGTATGCATATTACTTGGTGCCAGAAGAGCAAGCTATCTGAACAGAAATGTGAAGAGAAGTATGTCAGGCCGCTCCTGCCACCTTCCATGCATGCAGCACCTGTTGAATTTCGAGCCACTTTCCATCAGGAAGAATCTCATTCCTACATTTCTCGTGCGGGAGACTTGAACGTCCTCGCAAATACTCGAGTGCAAGTCCTTTCACCATGCCCTTCGCATAAGCAGCGGGAAACCGCTCCGCCAGATTAGGAGTCAATGTTATATTGCCCGCTTCAATCTTCTCGTGGTCATCGTAATGAACCTCGAACTTTACGTCTAGGATGTTCTCTGCACATTGCAGGAATTCGGCCAAAGACGTACGTTCGCCAGCGAAGAAGGAATCTCGAGACCATGATGGGAGGTCGAGCATTGCCACGACAAAACGGGCCGCATCAGTGCTATGGGTAAGCACAATTGGTTGGCTACCGTCCCCAGGGATCGCAGCGAATCTGTGCTGCAGATCAATGAACATAGCCGCACCTTTGTTAGGATCCAGAGCTGATGGAATCGATGGCGGACAGTAGTAGTCGAGAAAAAGGCCGATGGACACAATGCTGTACTCCATTTCAAGTTCGGCGAGTAAATTGCGCGCTTTGAACTTGAAGCCGTAGCTGGGCATGTAATCCAAGATCCTAGTACAATGTTAAGATCGATCTAGCATATATTGACATATGGAGTTTCTTTACCCTTCATGGTAATCAGCACCGAATTCGCTGGGTAGAAAGCGCTGCACGCATTTGGACTGGCTCGCGGCTTCGATGAGTCTCAGCTGTGCTACACCACTTGCTTCGTCGCTGATTGAAAGAGCAGAGATGACCGTGTGTATGGCATATGTGCGCAAAGTATCTGCTAGTGCAGCCGTTGAACTGTAGTCGACTATAACAGCTTTTGGGTCATGATCAAGTGGTTTCCGAACCAAGATGATGTATTCGTGAGAGTTTTGCTCGTCGAATTGTTGCCGGAACGCGAGACCGATACCTGATGTTGCGCCTGCGATAGCGATCTTGATCATTTTGCTGCGTTTTTTGCTCTGTCCTCTCTGGCTAATAGTGGTTCCTGGACTGCCACATTGTTTGACGTGGCGGGCTCCCATTTATATAGTTTTGGCCTGAACGGATGCCGGGGCACTAACGAAGCCCTCTACGTAAATCTAATCACAAGCATCATCTGCTCGTGGCGCCTGTGATACCAGTATACACATCAAGATTAAAGCTACAGAAAAAGAGTGGATTGAACATTTTCGCACAGCTTCTCGGACTGCCGCTATGATGTTGCTTTTACTGGAATGATTACAGTGCAGATTTGGGCCTGTTTGGACGAAGGATGGTGGAGGAATGTTGGAGGGAAACGAAGGAAAATCAAAATGTTTGGTCGCTTCCATGCCTTGCTTATCGTATGGTTCTGTCCTCTTGCTAAGCCGGGCATCCCGGCATGATATTCGGGCCGTTTTCAGCCGCTTTGTGGTACTCGATCGACATGAGCATTGTTAGACTCTACATCTATGGAGACGGCGTTGCGACTACACACAACACGATCGAGTCAATAAACTTTCTCTAGATTATTCATCAGGTGCTTTCCGTCAGACACCCAATCGAGAAGTCGTCTATATATGAAGATGATATCTTTACCGGCTTAGTAGTCAATTAGACTGTAACGGCGTAGCGGCTGTGGCTACACATATCCGAACAGGAACCGAACTAGGGCACAATACAGCCTAGTGGGAAAACGACTATATAAACCCAACCTCTATGATAGCTTGTTAGGTAGATTTTTGATATCCTTTCGTACAAGGCCTATAGGTNTCTGTTCGAATCAAGGCTCGTTTGATGTCCCACGCACTCCCATATGCCTCTGAGTGACACTACTGCCGATACTGATCCGAACAGTCTTGCCTGCGCCGTTACATAGACCTCATTCAGTCAGCGTAGTTGTATACGTCTACCTTAAGACCGCGGATATCTAATCATCTATTAATTTGATTGTTTTTTTTTAGAAAAGTTTGTCCGAATGGATATACTAGGCAAATAAGGGACGTGTATTCTTTACGATTATTTATAGAGCCGTTAGCTCCGCACAATGATCCTCGCTGTACGTCTCCAATCTAAATTACCTTAACGATATTCATGATACAATAGTTTCTTACTTCTAATATAAATATCATATGCTGTATTGATCGACGTTGCTAGAAAGGCGTGGTTAGCTTTGATCGATAACATATCTACCTGGTAGTAGTATCTATTGTTTATTGGAAGCCTACTCCATTGTTGAGAACTAATCTACGCACACTCTAGCTAACCACCTGTCTTGTATATATTCATCGGATTGGTTTTACGAAATCAACTACAGTAGCTTCAAAAATAACCCTTTTTGCGTTAATCACTACTCTATATACTATTTAAAGAGAGTTAAAATTATGATATAACTCGATGATGGAACGCTTCTCAGTCGAGGCCTAGAATACCCGGCACAATCTTTACCTGTTTATGATGGTGTCCATCTTTGTGTGCTAGAAGATGCATCAGTCGAAGTAGATCCGGTAATACGCATGCGGAAATTTCAAGTTTTGAGATGGCAGCCTAGTGTGAGGCACTGTAGGGGCACCACAGCAGCGCCCTATTCGTTGTATTCTGTGATTAGAGCAATGTGGAGAAAACGACCTCAAAGGGTCGCAAGTTGGTCGAGAATATCCGGGTTATGGTGTTGGTCCGACGAGAATGGAACATTATAAATTGAGCGCAGAGAACTTTCTGATAAAATGAATCTCGCGAAATTTTTCGCGTGTTGTTAAGACAATAGTACACTGCTAACGCGCTATACCTTCACACGCACTTTCTGAATTCTCGGACCCTGTTACGGCCCTATCCGTATCCAAGGAGAAGAGTAGTTTCACTCGGCTGCGTCTAGTTTTAGTGAGGACGAGCCGCCATGAGATCGACGTTCCGAGAACTCCGAGACTTGCGCACACGCGTGTCTGCTGGTGTTGCATGCGAGTATGCATTTCCCTGCATTCTGCCCTGTACTTGCGGTAATTAATTCCAGCAGCATGGCTTTATACAGATGGGTTCTGCTCCACAACTTGAGTACATGTCGCCTTTGCTAAGAAGGCGGGAGATTTAGCCAAAATACATGTCTAATTATTGCGGTCCGTTCTACTCGGTGATAAATTTCAAGCGGGGACTGGACATCTCAAGGTAAGCTTTGCGTAGCTAAGCGCTAAGGACATTTTCACCTAACCTTGTGAGCGCTGGTATTGCTTAAGTTTTAGCTTCTTTACGGCCTAATTATGACTCGGAACTACTTAAATGATTACACGCATTTACTGAATTAGCTGTGCACATACTGCTACCTAGAGCGGATTTTGCTGATCCGTACAAGTATGCGCAGGCCCTTGCCTTCAAAATGATCCATGCCATGCTGGTTCTGCAGTAGTGCAGGCAAATGAGTAAGAGATTTTACACAATCCGTAAAATTATATAGAAATCTCTCGTCCCAGATAGATGAATACGTCTGGATTAGGTGTGCTACGTGATCCATAAGGGTATATTATTATTATTATTCTTATTCTAGTTTAACGTCCTGTGTCAGCCGGTGGGCTATATAAGACGTGTAGGCTAGGCCTACAGGTAACTACGTAGTGCTATCAATTTGGTGTAGGTAGGGGAGGGGGTCATCTAAAT